TTCCATTTTTAATTTTATGCAACTTTCACTTTTATTTTTTTTCAACTTCCATTTTTATTCAATTTACTTTTCTATTAAACTTCCTTTTTAAAATATCTACCATCACATTGTTTGGTTTCAATTTCCAAAATTCAATTTTTCTAGAAATTGAATTTTTTATGTTTTGTATTTTCTTTTATTTTTAATGAAATTTTTAATATTTTAACCAAATTTTTTACTCAAAGTCTGGATCATTCTCAAACTCTCTTGGTCATTGCCTTAACACCCAACTTTCACCTCCTCTCTCACACGACTCTCAATCTCTCACACAATCTCTCTCATACAACACTTTCTCTCTGGGTTTGTAGGCGTTGTTTGTACATCAATTAGAGGATTTTAGATAATAATAATAAAAAGTAATGCTAGAAACTCACATTTGAGACTCCTAAATATACCCACAATGATATGACATGGAAGTAGAGCCCTACATGATTAAGTATGTGACAAATTAAAAGTTAACATCCATCATTTCACATCATTGTGGGTAAAATTGCGAAGATTTTATTAGAAGCCTCAAACATTTTCCATAATAAGTATATTTATATAACAGTACTTATGCAAAATGAACCCATCCTTCGTTCCAAATAATTTTATGAGCAGAGAGATTACAACAACAAATGGAACTCATCAAAAGATAAAGAGGGCAACAAAAACTGAAAATAATTTTGGTTTTAAGTGAATATTCATAATTCTCATAAAATAATACATGTAAATTGTAACCAAGAGATTTGTGCACTAATTAGGATCTGTTAGGACCCTACTTGTTGTCAAATTCCGTGGATAAACTTGAATTAAATTGAGTTGTAATTTTCTTTTGTTTTTGGTCTTCCCGCTCGAGCGGGGAAAGCGGCGCTCGAGCGGAGATTCCACCCTCACAGTATTTTGGCTTGATTGCAAAATATACTAAGTGGTGTGATTGTACGCTCGAGCATGGGATCTTATGCTCGAGCGTGAACCCTGGTTTGAAACATGCGATATAGAGTCCCCGCTCGAGCATCCATTTCCACGCTCGAGCGGACCTCGCGATCTCAGCCTCTATAAAACCTCAAGTTGCTCCAAATCTAGGGTTACGTTTTCTAGATTTTCTTTAAGGGTTTTAGGGTTTTCTTTTGGGGATATTTTTCTAGTTTTCTTTGATGTTTGATTGAGTTTGAACTTATGTTCTCATAAGCACACATCAAGGAGTTTGTTTGATCTTCTTTGAGAGTATTCTTCTACAGTGGAATCTGAAGATTCAATCACAGAGTATCAAAGGAGTTTGATGCTATGTGCAGTCGTTGATTCAACAATGGATGTTGTGGATTCAATATCAATCTAATCAATTCCGATACGAAGGTTGCGGTGAAAGATATACAGAAGATTTGAAGACAAATTGGAAGCATTTGGGTAATTTGTTTAGTATCTTTGTAATCTTTCTTTCTTCAGTAGTGGATTGATTTGTGGCGTTTCACCTGTGATTTTTTTATCACAATTGAAGGTGCTTCAATTATGATTTTTCCACGTAAAAATCGTTTGTGTTGATTTATTGTTTTCTGAAGCAACAATCTAAATCACTTTTATACATGCTTGATGATTTAGATTGTGAGTTTTAATTGGTTAGGAATTGGAACTATTAAATCTTGATCTAATCACAAATCACTTAGGTTATTCATTTGGTATCAGAGCAGGTCACTCTTTGTTTTTATGAAAACTATAGGAGTGTGATTTTGTGTGATTGGTGATATGGATTCAATTTGCGAAGGTAACTCGACCCATAGACCTCCCTTACTAGATAGTACAAACTATTCTTATTGGAAAGCTCGTATGAGAGCGTTTCTAAAATCTATCGATAAGAAAGTTTGGCATTGTGTGATCTATGGGTGGGGTGAACCTATTGTCACCATTGATGGTGTTGATATTCCCAAACCCCTTGATAAATGGGACTCATTCGACTATCAAAACTCAAGTTGGAACAGAAAGGCTCCCAATTCCCTTTTTTGCTCCGTCACACCTGAAGAGTTTCGTCTTATTTGCATGTGTGAGGTAGCAAAAGAGACTTGGGACATTCTTGAAACAATTCACGAGGGTACTACTTTTGTTAAAAGGCCAAAACTTCAACGTCTCACCTCTGCCTTTGAAACTCTTTTTATGTATGATGATAAGACGTTTGATGATTTTTATGCTAAACTGAGTGACATCGTGAATTTCTGTTTCACACTCGGTGAAAAAATCCCTGAAGCTAAGGTTGTTGGAAAAATTTTGAGGTCATTACCCGAGAGGTTCCAATCAAAAGTGACAGCTATTGAGGAGACTCAGAATGTTGATACGCTCAAGCTTGATCAGTTGGTTGGAAACTTGCAGACTTATGAAGCCCACCAGATTTCTAAGAAAAAACAAAAAGATAGTTCGACTTTCACGAGTGCCCATGAGGCTACAAAAAGTCCTGAGACTGAGTTTGATCTAGAGTCTAAGATAACGGCTATGTTTACTAAACAGTTCAAAAAAAATTTAAAGAAAAAGAAGCCTAATTTCAGGAACCCTATTTCAAAAGATAAGAGTAATGAAAAACCCAAAACGTTTCCACCAAAACTTGCTCCAAAAACTGAAAAGAAGATTGTGAAGGGGCAAGGGGTCGAGTGCTACGAATGTTAAGGGTTTGGACATATTGCTCTTGAATGTCCATCGAAAAAGAATCGGAAGAAAGTCTATACAGTGACTTGGGATGATGAAAGCGGGTCAGAGCAAGAACCCGAAAAAACTGAATCCGGTGAAGAGGAAGATAGTGTTTTCATGGCATTCTGGTCTACTGTCACTCAACCTCCTCCGAAGCCAGTAGAATTTGCTCGTGGTTAGAATCTGCACCGTGCTCCTACCTTTGATGGGAGTAAATACTTGTACTGGAAGATCAAAATGAGGGTGTTTTTGAGAGCTTTCGACCTTGAGGGCTGGCAAGCCATTGAAGAGGATGTTTAAAGCACTGACAATCCGAGCAATCAGAGAGTTTTGTCTACTATTCGTGAAGTAATTTTTGATGAAGAACAGCAACGGGTTGCTCACTGCACAAAGGCCAAAGATGCTTAGGACATTCTGAGTCAATTTCATGAAAGATGAGAGTCATCTTCACCACCATCTATCACTTTTCCTGCCTTAGTTGCTCGACTGGATGAGGTCTAGGAGAAAGAGGAGCAAAAAGAAGATGATGAAACATCAGAAGACAATGATGAGATTGATGGTGATGATCTACAACAAGCTTACAAAAGGCTTTACGATGAATCTCTAAATTTGTCCAAGATCAATGACAAACTCACTTTTAAGCTCAAAGCATGTGAAAGTGAGAATGTCAAGCTAAAAAGAGAAATTGCAACAGCAAAGCAAAATATCATCAAGATCTCTAATGACAGGCAAGACTTATGTGAGAAACTTCTATTTTGTGAGATCGAAAGGAATGACACTAAAACAAAACTGACTTTTTACAGCACCACATCAACGGCATACAATAAATGCACGTCGTAGTTTCTCACTTTTACGAATTGCTTTTTTTGCACGTCGTAAATACTTTTCCAACCACGGCGTGTCTATTGCGTAGGCTGTGAATGATAATAACGATAATTTTTTTTAAGGCTTGCAATGCACGCCATAAATAATAAAACTTTCTACGACGTGCATATGGCGTGCTGTTAATACATCAATTATACATGACACACATACGCCAACCGTGAAAAGTATTCACTTTTCACGGCGCACACAACGCCCGTCATTAAAAAGTATTTCCTTTTTACAACACACACAACGCCTGTCGTTAAAAGTATTGCAATTTTTACGATAAACAATGTATGTTGTAAATTGTATGATAAAAACAAAGAAGTGCCAAAATGAAATTTCTCGCGCCAATTCACCAAAAAAACAAAAAAAAAATATTGAGGGAAAGAATATATACATCAACTATTTGGGCTTCTAATAGATTCTAATCATCAGACACTGGTTCGAAGGGCATCCATCGCCAGTACAATTCCACTTAACAGCGTCGGGCACAGGGAGGGAGATAAGGAATGGTACAAACTCATACTCTTCTATTCTCTTCTCTCTCTCTCACACACACACACAGATTTGCCCTAAACGCATCTCATTTAGGGCATCTCTCTCTCTCTCACACACACAGATTTGCCCTAAACACATCTTATTTGGGGCATCTCTCTTTCTCTCTCTCAGATTTGCGAACGAGATTGAGTCGGGCCAAGTCGAGTTGCAAAGTTACTCTGACGAGTCGTCGCTCGAATGAGAGACCAAGTCAAAGAAGAGGTAGACATCGTTTGGGTCGTGTGGGGATATATTTTCTGAGTACCAACACGTGGCTAAGGTGACCCCGACGTGTCAGCCGAGGTGCCATGTGTCCTGGTCATGACGCCGAGGTTATCTCGGCAAGGCCGAAGTTACTTCCGAAGATATCGAAATCCGAGATAAGCGGATAAGGTACAAGAGTCCTAGAAAAGGGGAAGACTACAGTTGGGAAAGGATAAGACTCTTAGGGAGTTTATCCCAATCCTACTGGGAGTCCAAGATTAGCAGTAATCCTAAGTCCATTAGAGTTAGGCTTCTATTTGAGACTAGGATTGTGTTGGCTATAAAAGGAAGGCACCCCCATGGGTCTAAGATACGCAATTTATATTCTGAACAGTGAGATTTGCACTATTGATTATCTTTGAGAGATATACTGACTTGATCGTCGGAGTACCCCTGGGTGGACGAACCACTGCCGGAATCTTCTCTTTCTATTACGGGTTAGCTAGGTATCATCTATTCTGCCAGTGTTCTCCAGCTGAATACTGAGTTGGGTAGTGTGATCGGAAAATCACTCACACAGGTCAGCAGCAAAGACAGAGCATGGCGAGGTCGAGAGGAAGAAAGGAACTCCATGGAGAGAAGAAGAACACAGGTACATTTTCTGAGTTGTTTAGATTCTTTTCTTGGCTACCAAACAGCGTGTTTTCTTAGGGGCCAAACAGAGCATCTAGTTATGTACATGAGTTTCTTGATTGAAATGTTTTTTTTTCCTCTTTTGATTTTGTGTTTTATTAAGAACTACGGTGATGCGCATAGCCTCCTGACAAATTTCACTAGTATGGTGCAGCAGAAATGCTGAAGTAACGATGGTGCTCTTACTAGTGCTAAAGGCCTGGTGGTTGTAGGAATGGGAAGTTTGGGATGAAATAGTGAATCCTTTTTTGAGAAAGCTCTAGAAGTAAAAACAAAAACTTGCTCATGAGTATACTACCTGCTGGAAAAGCAACATGTGATGCCCTTATCATCAAAAAATGAAAATTGTTATAACTAGATATGGGTATGTTCTCATTTTTTGTTTTTTTTTTTAATTTTATTTGTTTATTTTTGTAATAAATAAGTAGCTAACTATTCCCTCCCTTCCCCTCCCAACCAAAAAAAAAAAAAAAATTATCAAACTGGAATATATGTGAATTGTGTTGTTAAGTTTTTTATTTTTATTTTTTTTTGTTGGACTTGTATAAGTTGAAACCATTAGATGATTTCCTGAAAAAGTTTTATGGAAATTGTATCATGATTCATTATGTCTAGACTCGAGTGGTGGAGAAGATACTAGTTGCTCATCTTTTGAAAGAAAAAAAAATGCTCATTTTTGTTTACTTCGTTCTGAAGCCTCTATCGTACCAAAAAAAAAATAGAAAAGACGGACGGTTTAGTATTATGCCTTTCAAACTCTATGGTGTGCATTGTTATTCACCCAATGTATGTTTGTAGAGAGTGAGGCATAACCCATTATGTTCCAAATTCCTGAACATCTCATTCAAATGACCAAGGGAGATACGGAAAAAGGTCATCAAGAAGTTCACTGACTCTGTTTGCATTGGATGCATGGGTTTGTGTTGAACAAAATGGTCTTCAAGTATTCTCTTTGTGCAGAAGGCATATGGTCTTTTAGTAAACATACAATGCGTTCTCATTTGCAATGTACTCTAACTATTAAGATATATCTTAACCAAGTTTTCTTCTGTTACTGTGGAGGTATTGCATTAGTTTTTGATATTTACTGTTTAGGTTTATTTGGTGTAGCTTTTTGTTAGAAGTCCTTCATGAAAAAGGCATTTTGCAAAAAGAAAAAACGAAGAAACAAGTACAACTTTTTCCAAGACCAGAGCTTCTCCTCAATAAATTCTACTTTAATACATTCACATGTTTTTTATTATGGCTGCTTTCTAGTTACTAAGTGGATTCTTAGACGTCTTATTTGTAATGATTAATTCTCAAAAGAATCCAACCTACAGCATGAGCTGATAAACTGTGGTATGTATCTTTTAATTTAATTTAAATTATTTTTTTTTTATCAACAACAAAAATTTTATAAACTGATCAAAAAATAAACTGCGGTATCTATCGTATCTCTCAATGCCGCTTCTATGCTATATCAAATTGCTATTTTATCTTGACCAGCATAAAGTGATTCCTATCCCATTACATGATTTTGAGCTCTGTATGCAATTTGTTAGTGCCCTTGTTTTAGGTGAGTGCTCCTAAGAGTGCCCGTTATGACTGATCCAACTTTCTGGGTGGTCTATATTAAGCACAGTGTAGCCACAAGCTTTTTCTCAGCTCTTAATTCGTGACTGTTTGCAAAGAAATCTTTAAATGGTTGATATTGTAACAAAAGGCCTATAATAGTGGTTGAAGTATGTGTAGCTAATTAGATATATCGTAACTTCATATCATTAGGCCTTTGATTGACTGAAACGTAGTCTACTTGCATGTATTTTTGAAGTAACTGGAAGTTTTCTGATTTCAAATCTTTGACTAATGGGTGACTTGTTTCTTAATTTATTGCAGTGCTAAGTTCAAGGATGAGATTACAACAAAGTTAAAGCATACTGGAGCTGGCATTATATCCATGGAAAATGCTGGTCCAAATACCAATGGAAGCCAGTTCTTTATTACCTTGGCACCTACACCGTCACTAGATGGTAAATATGTGACTCTGCTTAGTAACTGGTAGATTTATTTTGTCAATCTGTTTAGAATAATGTCTAAACATGTGAACTTTGCATATTTAGTCAGATGCTATAGGCTTTTGTGCCAACAAGAAGGATGATTTCATGATGCTTAACAAGAAGACACATTCTTTGATCCTTTTCCTTTATTTTTAATTTGCTTAGCTCATTGCTGACATTCATGCTGGTGAAGGGCATCTGGTTTAAGTATCACATAATCACTGTTTTGGCCCCTATATGTGGGGTTTAGACTTAATCTGTATATTTCACAATAGTACCTATGGTTTTCTGCTAAAATACCGAAACTTTTTATTGTCTGGCACTTTAGAGGATGCTTGGCTATAACAATCAACATCTAGTTGGCATATTAACAACAAAGGGTTAGTTTCTGTACTTGTTTCATTGTGTGGCAGAAGCAGAAATTCTACACGTAGATCTTGTATTTTAAGCTATCATATCGTTACTTGCCACTGTAACTGTCATACAGAACACCACCCTTTCTCTTCTTCAACTCAGCTATTTACATGCAATATCTTTGATAGAGAACCCTTCATACAGAACACCTCAAAATTTCTGCAGGGTTCCAATTTAGGCTAACATTTGGTTTGTCATTGCTGGGCTTTGTTTTGAATTAAATCTCAGCATGGTGTGAGAATGGCATGTTTATTCTTTCATTTCTTCTATTTGATCTTCACTAGGTGCATATATCTTGTAGCCTTGTTCTTAGCTGATAATGCTGTAATTCATGATTATCTTTTGGCTAGGAAAACACACAATTTTTGGAAGAGTATGCAGAGGAATGGAAATTATCAAACGACTCGGTAGTGTTCAAACTGACAATAATGATAGGTATGTCTTTTTTCGGGATATATTCTTTCCATTTAGGTATTAATCCTCTATGCTTAGTGCACTCTGCAAGAGCTCACAGCTGTCTGACTTGCCATTCAATCAGAATACATGCGTAATCTGCTTGGATGACTAGGTTTTGTGTTATCTTAAATCTGAAACACTAAAATGTAAATGATTATGACCTAGAAGTTATTTTGGCTTTTGTCTGAATTTCCCTTCTTTTTTTGTTTAAATTTCCCTTCGTTCCTCTACATATTTTGCAACTTCCACCATGAACAGAACCTTATGAAAAATATGAGTAATTTTAGATAAGTCTATTCTGAATTATTTCATGATGATATCATAGTACTCAAATTATATGAATAAAAAGGAGGTAAGTGCTAAATCCAATAAAGGGTTAATTACACCAAGATCCCATTTACTATTTGTTAATATTCCATTACCCCCCTCATCTATAAACATGTACATTTTAACCCCCTCAACTATGAAAACCATACAATGCCCCCTTCTGGAGGGGAGCAAGAGGAGATGAAAGTGATGCATTTTTATGATTGAGGGGATCAAAATGTAATTAACTCTCTAATACTGTAAACCAAGCAAGATTCTGGTAGCAAACTTACAAGAATTGCTCTCTCCTTTTGTGCATCAGAAGAATCTCATTACAAATTTGAAACCTGACCTTTATGCCAGTCAAACAACTGGTGATACAGCTTCTTGGTTTATGATTATAGATCTTTAACCAGATAAGTCCACCTAAATATGTTGCATGTATTGTATGTATTTCTCAGTGAATTGTGGATTCGCCATATAATTAACCTCATGAAAAGATATATACCCAACCCTCTATTGCGATTTAGCTACCTCAATAAAATTGGATTGATGGAAAAAATAATTACTGTCATGTAATTATGAATTCTTAGTTCATGAATTACAGAGATTATGCTGAATTAGGATTGCAAATTACTCTCGTCCATATGGAATGTTGTGATTGTGCAATTCAGTTTAGGGTTTGGACCCAAACAGGAAATTGTATTTCCATTTCACTATGTAGAAGGCTTTATTTTCCTCATTTCCTTAGCATACTAAAGTTTGGTGTTCATATGAAAGTGATCTAATCCTATTTTCATCCAAATGCAAGATGGTTCTATGGTGATTTCCTTTAAGAAAGAAGATACAACCTCTCTGGTTTTCACTACAGAAATTAAACTCTTTTGATGCATGTGGCAATCCAGTTTATGCGTTCAAACAATGGAAAAATTCTGTCTAAATAAACAGGGAAGCCTAGTGATATTCTACATGGTTTGTTCACTTGTTGACCACAAAGGTCTAAATTGCCAATAAACCTAGGCATAAGAAAGTAGCAGTCATAAAGGATAACTAGTAAAAAGCAATTGATGCAGATTAAGGAAGTCTCAAATAATAGTAATCTGCAAACAATACTCAATTCTAGTGGGCTAGTTAATCAAGATTTGAGAAATAAAATTACTGATTATTTGCAATGCATCATATGAAAGTTGATTATAGGGAATATATAAAATTACAATGCATCATATGAAAGTTGATTTTGTTGTAGAAATAAAAAAAATCTAATACAATGACATTGCTTGAATGAAATTCTTAGTTATGCCATTGAATTTGTTTAGGGCATGGACGATATATACAATAGATGACAGAAGAACCCTAATACCAATGATGGATTAGTAAACCATTTCATCAAACTCTAATTTTTATTAGTTAAAATAGTAAAATTTATTATTTTATTTTATTTTTTAAATAATGGTTTGCTTTGGAGCATTATTTCAACACCATCAAAACAGCCCCTCCCAAAAGGGTCTGTAACAGATCAGTAAAGTGCAAGGACTAGGCTCAGAGCTTTAGGAGGTCTCGTGAAGTCCCTATCCTTATCCTAGAAGCAATGAGAGTGGGTTTGACAATCTTTTATTCTAATCAATACTTAAACAAACAGGTCTTAATCAAAAGTGGGAGCTGTGAAAGGGATTTTTGAAGGGGATGAAGAAGAAGTCACACACCTTTGCTTTGCAGCCCTTTCTTTCTTGTGTTACATTTTGACATTCTCTCAATTGTTTTCCATCTATGTTTATTTGGGCTATGATTTATTCCCCGACAGCCCAAATGGTTCTTCCTCTAGATCTTCGTGATTTTTTTATAATTTAAATCCATAAAACAATTTCACACCATGATGTTGTTCCGTTACAACTTCTGGTCCAATCTCTAAATCTTTTAGTTTTTTGGTTTGATGTATTATTTTTAGATCAGATCATTTGATGTAAATTGCTGCTAGACTGGGTGGTGGCATATTGGCGCTTGAATCTTCGAATATTTTCATCATAGATATAAGATGCAGATATCTTCTTTTTTTCTTTTTATTTTTTATTTTTTAATTTGTTAGTAAAACTTGATCCATCACATAAAAAAAGAGTTAGGTGCGCAAAAAGAAAGAGTGCCAGAATTTCATTTTGTTTTCTCCAAGATTTCCTGTACATATATTCCTGATATGCTGCTGCTTCACCACTTCGAAAATCAATATGGTGGTCTTACTCTCGGTATGATAAAACCCAAAAAAGAAAAGAACAGAAAAAAAAAGTTCCAAGCCCCCTCCCTTCAACCAAGTTTTGTTTTGGGGGCCTCTCAACTACCTCTTCTCACTAAACTGCTTTACAGAACACTCTCTATCTTCAACTCTAAATTCCTACAATCATCTTTGGTCATCCCTTGTTTGGGCTGCTGTTGTTGTGCAGTTTTGTTTTGGTATGGATGTTGAACAGATGCTTGATGATATGCTGATATGTTGTGCTGATATGCTGTGCTGGTGAACAGATGTTTGGACTAGGTAGTCTTGGGTTGTTCTGTGGCTAGCTGATAATTAATAAAGGCCCATAAAGATATTAATTTATTTTTTATCTATGGTGCTGCTCTCTGATAATTGGGTCTCTATAATTTCAATTCAATCAATTTTGACTGTAATTTTTTTTTATATATTAGATCTATTTAGTTCAATTGATAACAATGATTAAGAAATTTGGATAGAAATTGCAAGAAAAATAGTTCATTCAAAATGAAATGGAATATTTTAAATTAGATGTCAATTTGTGAGGAATGAGTTGATTATTCTGTATGAACCAATGTTTGTATTACCTTTGTTGTTACATTGTTTAACTTGGGTTCCTTATCATAAATGTTATATATTGCAGAATAAGGTTCAAGAACTTCGGGCTACAGAAGAAGGTCCAACGTCTATCAAAGATGATGCAATTGTTCATGCGTTTGGTCTAGAATGGTGTGGTAGGGTAAGAGGGCTTGGATTTGGAGCATTACCATCGAAAGTTGATGCACAAGCATACCAAAATCAAAATATGAGAAAACTAAATAAAAAATTGCTGCTCTTAGAACAAGAACTCTATGGATAGTTTTGAGGACTTTGATGGATAGATTTTTATAATTTTTGAATAGTTTTGGATAATGTTTACAAACTTATATATGTACAGTTTTGGATGGTTTATAACTTTTTTGATAATTTAAAACTTCAAGATAGTCCTTTTGGATGTTTGGAATGGATATATTGACAATTTTTGAATGTTTATAATTTATAGATATAGTTTATTTTTCATAGTTGAAATAATATTTTGGTGGTTGAATAATATTTTGTGAAGCTTGTTTGTAATATTAGATTGTACAAAATAGGTCAAATATAGAATCTACTGAATTAAAAAAATGCACATTCTACGGTAAGCAAATTAGGTCATTATATGAAATATTCCACAGCATTCCATGTATGCTGTGATTGTCACGACCCAAACGCGCCCCTATGGGTTTATCACCATAACCGGCTAGTAATCCATGATTACCGAAGGCCTACTTAACAGTTAAACAATAATACAGAGTACAGGGGCATGGCGGAAGCAAAAACAGTAAATAGACAATGTCCAATGAGCTGTGACAGTCTGTATGCAAAAAGACGTTTCATACATATATACAATCAGTGCAAAACAGCATGTACAACATTTACAATCGTTCAGGACAGGGACTTAATCCCTAATAAAATAGTATAGTAACAGTGTATACAGTTTATACAGTAGTTACATAATAGATACAAAAATGGGGAAACTAAAACACCCCATAGCCTTAGCTTGACAGGCTCGGAACCTCGCAGTGAGGCACAATGGTTGGCTTGGACAAAAGGGGAGTCTAACCCATGCTCCTAGCTCCGGTCTGGTGCCTGTACACCTACATATATATATGAGCAGTGAGCTAAAGTCCAGTGAATAACATAATGCGTAAAGAGGTTAAGAATGAATGTCCTTACAGTATTGAAAACAATCATTTCAATCAGTATATCAGTTATTCAGTCGTTACAGTCATGTGTGGTACATCCAGTAGCAAAACGGTACAGTAGGTCTTATCAGACCGAACAGTCAGTTAATGGCCATCATATCAGTAAACAGCAGTGGTTCCAACATGGGAACCGACAGAGATCTTTGTGACAGTAGCAGTACAATACAGTAACAGTAGGTTGCTAAGGATGCTACAATACAGTTCACAATTAGGACATCATTCAATCAGTAACAATATCATTTCAGAAAACAGTACAGTTCAATTGTTCAGAAGATAATCATATTTGAACATATCTTTACATAGTTGTTACTCACAGAGTTCTGGGCTACAGTTAAGCTAGAGCGCGTCCTCAGATGCTAACCCTACACAGTTTACAGGATGAACACACACTAAGTTCAGATTCGGGAATCAAAGACTTAGTCCCTACTTAGACTCGGTGTGGTTCTACATCTATATCCTCATTAAGATGCCTTAAACTAGGCCTAAGAATGCCTAGAATGAAATGAGGATGCAAGGATGCACTTGAAAAGCATTTTTAGAATTTTCAGAAAACAGGGGTCTCGCTCGAGCATGTGGTTCCTCGCTCGAGCGGACATGCAAACAAAAGCCTCCGTTCGAGCGTAAACTTTCCCGCTCGAGCGTACTGAAAAAGTACTGGATGTGTGAAAATACGCTCGATTGGGCGCTCGATACCCACTCGAGCATGTGACACAAGTCCTCGCTCAAGCGTCCCATACCCCGCTCGAGCGGACTGTAAAACAGTGCAAAGTGCTGGATGCACGAATTTCACGCTCGAGCGCCAGTAACTCCGCTCGAGCGTGAGTCCAAAATCTGGAAATTCCATATTCGAACCTCAAGCTCAAAAACAAGTTTCAAAACACCAAATTCGATCCTTTTGGGCTAATTTTCTGGAAAACACTTCAAAACTCATAATATAACATGTTTCAAAGCTCAATTTGAGAAATCAAAGCCCAAAGATAGTTCAATTAAATCCAATTTCAAACCAATTTTCATGAACATAACTCAAACACGTACATACATGAATTCAACAACTTCAAAGCTTCAAAGCTAGCTCAATTTGAGCCAATTCTTTCCAAAACATGATGAAACCATGGACTATACCAATAATATGAACATGCATGTATCAAACTCCATGTAGTCAACCTCAAAATGCAAGGGTATGCCATGCATGCAAAGATTAAGCTTCAAATCAACAACCTAAGCTAGTTCTAGACTCAATCCCTTAATTTAGACATGAATCATGCAAGAACAAGCTCAAATCATAAACAAGAGGGTAATTATACTACCTTAGGTCTCCAATGCAAGATAAGGGAGCTCAATTGCAATCTACTCCAATTCTTCAAGTTCTTCAAGCCAATACACAAAATCAAGTTGAAATCACTCCTATCCTCTCTCTCTCTCTCTCACTCTAGCCGGCTATGTCTCTCAAAAATGGCTAAAGAAGATGTTTTGGTCAAGTGTGTATGAAGCTCCAAGTGTTTAGTTAGTGGGTCACTAGGCATGGCAAAGTGGTAGATAATGCAACTTATGGGATTAAGCTCATTTTAGTCTAATTAAACCATAACAAATCAATTTTCAATAAATTTTACCATAAAATCACATAAATTCTAATGATCATAAAACATCAGTCAATTTCTGGTTCGGCCGCCGATAAGGTCTTCAATTTGTAGTTTAAACAGAAAACATGAACAGATAATTAAACAGTCAAACAGATAGGCATGCATTTAAACTAGTACGTTCAATCAGTCAGTTCAGTGTTTCAGTCGATTCAATTACTTTTCATAATCAGTCTCAGTTTAGCAGTAACCAGTGGTTAATCGGTAAACAGTGGAGAGGGTTATTACAGTCTCCCCTCCTTAAAAAGAGTTTGGTCCTCCAAATTCAAATTACCTTCATTCTGGAAGAAAACATGATTCAGTGGGAACAATTCAGGGTATCTCTTGGCCATGTCATCTTCCCTTTCCCAAGTGGCATACACGCCACCATGGTTTTGCCAGTCAACTTTCACTAACGGAATCTCTTTGTTTCTCAATTTCTTGATCCGTCTGTTCACAACCTGTATAGGCCGTTCTTCATAAGTGTAGTCATCACTCAGCACTACACGAGTAGGTTCAATCACATGGAAGGGATCCCGAAGGTATTCCCTCAACATTGAAATATGGAACACGTTATGCATATGCTCCATTTCAGGAGGAAGCGCTACTTGATACGCCACCGGATTGATTTTCTCAATAATTTCATATGGTCCGACATATCTCGGCGCTAACTTGCCTTTAACCCCAAAACGAGTCTGGCCCTTCATCGGTGTCACTTTTACAAAAACATGATCACCCACTTCATATTCTCTGTCTCGCCTTCGGACATCCGCACAACTTTTCTGTCGGCTCTGTGTAGTTTTCAATCTCTGTTGGATCAGTTTCACTTTTTCGGTAGTTTTTTGTACAATCTCGGGCCCAAGCAAAGGCCCATCTCTAGTTTCTGCCCAGCAAATCAAAGATCTATATTTTCTGTCATACAATGCCTCGAAAGGTGCCATACTAATACTTGAGTGATAACTGTTGTTGTAGGTGAATTCAGCTAACGGTAGATGACTTTCCCAATTCCCCTGGAAGTCAAGAACACACATCCGTAGTAAATCCTCTAGAATCTGGATGGTTCTTTCTGACTGACCATCTGTCTGAGGATGGTATGCACTACTCAATCTCAGTTCAGTACCCAATGCAGTCTGTAGGCTAAGTGCTGGATGCACGAATTTCACGCTCGAGCGCCAGTAACTCCGCTCGAGCGTGAGTCCAAAATCTGGAAATTCCATATTCGAACCTCAAGCTCAAAAACAAGTTTCAAAACACCAAATTCGATCCTTTTGGGCTAATTTTCTGGAAAACACTTCAAAACTCATAATATAACATGTTTCAAAGCTCAATTTGAGAAATCAAAGCCCAAAGATAGTTCAATTAAATCCAATTTCAAACCAATTTTCATGAACATAACTCAAACATGTACATGCATGAATTCAACAACTTCAAAGCTTCAAAGCTAGCTCAATTTGAGCCAATTCTTTCCAAAACATGATGAAACCATGGACTATACCAATAATATGAACATGCATGTATCAAACTCCATGTAGTCAACCTCAAAATGCAAGGGTATGCCATGCATGTAAAGATTAAGCTTCAAATCAACAACTTAAGCTAGTTCTAGACTTAATCCCTTAATTTAGACATGAATCATGCAAAAACAAGCTCAAATCATAAACAAGAGGGTAATTATACTACCTTAGGTCTCCAATGCAAGATAAGGGAGCTCAATTGCAATCTATACTCCAATTCTTCAAGTTCTTCAAGCCAATACACAAAATCAAGTTGAAATCACTCCTATCCTCTCTCTCTCTCTCTCTCACTCTAGCCGGCTATGTCTCTCAAAAATGGCTAAAGAAGATGTTTTGGTCAAGTGTGTATGAAGCTCCAAGTGTTTAGTTTGTGGGTCACTAGGCATGGCAAAGTGGTAGATAATGCAACTTATGTGATTAAGCTCATTTTAGTCTAATTAAACCATAACAAATCAATTTTCAATAAATTTTACCATAAAATCACATAAATTCTAATGATCATAAAACATCAGTCAATTTCTGGTTCGGCCGCCGATAAGGTCTTCAATTTGTAGTTTAAACAGAAAACATGAACAGATAATTAAACAGTCAAACAGATAGGCATGCATTTAAACTAGTACGTTCAATCAGTCAGTTCAGTGTTTCAGTCGATTCAATTACTTTTCATAATCAGTCTCAGTTTAGCAGTAACTAGTGGTTAATCGGTAAACAGTGGTGAGGGTTATTACAGTCTCCCCTCCTTAAAAAGAGTTTGGTCCTCCAAATTCGAATTATCTTCATTCTGGAAGAAAACATGATTCAGTAGGAACAATTCAGGGTATCTCTTGGCCATGTCATCTTCCCTTTCCCAAGTGGCATACACGCCACCATGGTTTTGCTAGTCAACTTTCACTAACGGAATCTCTTTGTTTCTCAACTTCTTGATTCGTCTGTTCACAACCTGTATAGGCCGTTCTTCATAAGTGTAGTCATCACTCAGCACTACACGAGTAGGTTCAATCACATGGAAGGGATCCCGAAGGTATTCCCTCAACATTGAAATATGGAACACGTTATGCATATGCTCTATTTCAGGAGGAAGCGCTACTTGATACGC